GGTCCGCAGTGTGTTTCCTGGTATATGATTTCCAGGTTTCATCTTATCTTGTTTAATGGTCAAAAAGGTAATGGGCGGTCATGGAGCAAATTCTTCAGAACAAACCCTTTTTAGGGTCCATCCAGAAATTTGATATGAATCTTCGAGCTCACATCCATCAGTTACCGTGCAGCAGCTGCGTTATATTCACCAGCTGCCAACAGCATAGGCACTAGCTCCAAGTTCGCACATTAATTGCCTCGGAGATTAAACAAGGCATACTTCCTCGCATCAAGACGGTGACTTATTTGAATTTATCCATTCCGGAGACCGACCAATGTGTTGTTGACCGCCGTCTAGTGATACTTCAGATAACTGCGATTGGCTTGCCTTTCTCATACACACTACTTTTTAAAGTACCCATTTATAATGCTTCGTCCTCTTATGCTTTATGCAGATCGGGATCGCAATGTCGCCGCTGAGCAATAATTCCCTTTTCTTGGAATATCACCGGAATCCACTGAACGATTATTTGGCTAGGGGCCTAAATGTTTGCCTCAGTACGGACGATCCCCTGCAGTTTCACTTCACAAAGGAACCCCTCATGGAGGAGTACAGTATCGCTGCTCAGGTCTGGAAACTAAGTGCCACCGATATGTGCGAGCTGGCTCGCAACAGTGTCCTCATAAGCGGTTTTCCCGACTTTGTAAGTTCTCTTCTATATTGTTAGACATACTTTGTAAATACCGGTAGAGGTGGTTTTCTAAATGAAATTTCCATTACAGGTGAAGTCGCACTGGTTGGGTCTAAACTTTTGGGAGGAGGGCGTACGCGGCAACGACATTACGCGTACCAACCTGCCCAATATTCGTGTCGCCTACCGTCACGAGACACTTACGGAGGAACTGCGCCTTCTAGTATCAGCTGCACTGGAGGCCAGAGAACTCCAACCACGCTCAATGCCAGCTGGGTCTCCTATGCACCAGAAACAGGTGTATCCGGATAAACTGGTTCACCTTTCGCCTCAGCCACTGACTGACCTCACAGAGGAAGTCTAACGCAGCGGACGGACTCCCAACTTTGTGCACTTTTAAATACCCTTATGGCTTACTCTCCTGCACGTATTTTTTTCTGTCATGGTTTGCCATCCGCATTTCT